TCCCGATGACTACAAGCTGGGACCGTGCCCGCTGCGCATCCAGCTGCATCCACTCTCCCTGGTCTCGAAGCTCGGTCCACACAGACCTCCAAGCACTGCTGCCCACCAGGCACCCACTGCCAATAGACGAGGGGGCCAGATAGGAGACATCCTCTGGACTTGCCCTCTCGGCACCACCACTGGAGTCACAGACAAAGCATTTCTGCTGCTGAGAAGCCTGCAAACCCCTGAGGCCTTTACCACCTGCTGCCTCACCTCCCTGCAAACCCTGAGCCACTCAGCCCCAGGCTGCTCACAAGAGGAACCACAGTGAGCCTTGACCCTTAGTCTGCCCCACGCCGCCCACACTGGACACACGTGGAGCCCGTGGTGGGTAAGACTTCCTATTCCCCATTTGGCAGGTGAGGATCCTGAGGCCCAGGGTGGTGAGGACCTGCTGAGCTCACACCTACAGCGCAGAGGTGGCAGCCCCAGTGCCCGCCCTGTTAGGAGGACACTGTGATGGAGACAGTGACATGGGGTCGGGGGAACTTCTCCAGGGAGCCTTCAGCAGATGAGCTCCCAGGACAGTACTGACCTCCCTGAGCCTGTCCACACGCGGCACCCCTAGTGGATGCCGCTCCCCGGGCTGGAGTCACGGGAGTGTGTGGGGGTGACCTGTGCCCAGCCAGGGGCCTTTCTCAGGCCACCCTCTTTAGGCCTCCCTGGCCTTGCCTGATGCCCACAGATCCTCCGTCTTGTGGATTCCCCACCTTGCAGGGTCCTCCCTTTTCCCCCTGGGAGGCTGGAAGAATGGCCTCTGGTCTGGGTGGAGCCCCTCTCTTACATGCCAGTGCAAAACCTCTTCCTCCAGGAAGTCCTTCCAGATCTCCTTTTCCTTGGGCCCTTAGTGTCCAGGCCCTAGTTATCAACCAGCTCAACCCTAGGATGATGGCTGCACTCACACCTCCACCTTCTCCCCAGCATCAGAAAAAACCATCAAGATCCAAATGTAGGACCAGACAGACTTGGGGTTCACCTTGCACTTGCCTTGGACTAGACATGGCCTCTCTGAGCTCAGTCGCAGCTCTGCCACAAGGATGGTACCACTTCCCAGCTTGGCCCCTCAAGCTCCAGATTCCTGCCCCATTCCCCCTTGAAGCCTGACAGAGGCCCAGGGCCCCGGAGTCCAAGCACCCCATTGAGCCAGAAATCACACTGGCCCTGGCCACCAGCAGAGTCCCTGGCCAGCACCTGTGCCCCGAAATCTCTCGACATTACTTCCCAGGCCAGCTCAAGCCTTAGGCAGCCCCTGTCCTGTCCCCTCTCCCAATAAGCCCCAGGCTGGGCACTGCTCTGGGTCCTGTGACGGGGAGTCGAGGGGGTTGGGGAGGCCTCTGCCCCAGGGGCTGGTGGGAGTCCCAACTCAGTTCTGGGGGGCCACCCTCAGAAGGCAGCTGCCCGGCATAAGGTGTGCTCCCAGCCCAACAGCACCACCAGCTAGAGGAACCTGTTCTCCAGGTTTATCCCCAGGGAGAGCTGCGCCCTAAGGGGCTATAGGGAAGGGGAGAGCTGGGCCAGTCCAACCCCACACCTGGGGCCAGAACTGCAGCAGCCCACCCCCCATTCTACCCCCACTTCCCCACCAGGGGCAGCAGTGCACACCTCTGCTCCACGCCCCACAAAGTGCCTGCTCAGTCAAGGACCCAGGCCCGACAGCTAAGCTGACCCAAGGTCCCCAGCCATCTGCGTCTCCCCACGCCACCTCCAGGTTGGCATCTCAGCCTCACTGGCTCCTCAGCCACCCTCAGATGATGAGAAGCACCTGCTCCCTCCACAGGATGTGCCAGGGGATCGAGGGTTCCAGGAAAGGCTCCACTGGGCAGACCACACCCAGTCCCAGGACAGCAGTGCACCCAGCCAGGTATCCTGCCATGCTTGGAAGACCCCATGCCCTGGAGATTTGGAAGGAGGGGGTCACACAGCGAGACCACCTTGGCAACAATCAAGTGCTGCAAGCTGACCCACCATGACCCTCCTTCCTTCTCTGGACAGGTATTCCTGAGCTGGGCTTGAGGGCACAGCAGCTGCCCAAGCAAGAAGGTGTGTCCAGTGAAGCTGGTCTCTCAGCAGAGGGACACAGACCAGCTGGCCAGCCTGACCACCTGGCTGCTGGGTGGGGCTGGGGGAGGATGGGAGATGAGCAGGGGAACCAAGAGAGTGTGTATAGGGCTGCCCCCCAAGCTGGGCTCAATGAGGGGCCATACAAGTGTCCTGAAGGAGGGACCGACAGTGTGAGGAAGTGACTGAATTCAGCAGCGAGGTGGACCCCGCTCCCATTGACCCAGACCCAGCTCTGCCCAAGCCTGTGACTGTTGATGCACACAGAATAGGCATCAGCTCCTTATATCTGCATCCCCATTCCACAGACCAGAAAACTGAGGCCCAGGGGTGTCAGAGGGAACAGGTGAGTTCCTGTAGACGAGGTCACACAGCTGAGGTCACAGCAGGTTCCTGGCTCAGCTGCTTCTGCAGAAAGGGAGCCAAATGAAGTGGAGGACGTCTGGGCCCCACGCAGGCTCTACACCCGGTTAGATATCTGCCTGGTCCCGGTGGCCAAGTCCTTGCGGGTCTTCCCCTTCCTGTCCCAGGAACCAGAGTTGGTCAGAAGTCACATGGTGAGGCCTCCAGCAGGAGATCATCCCACGCCCGGGGCTCCAACTTGCCTGGCCACCAGGGGACAAGGACAGCTGACTCTTGACCAGACTGGGACTTCCCATCCACCCCGACTTCCTTCTGAAACTGTCTCATCCTCCTCCTTGGCCATGTGGCCATCTTTGCACCCTGCTAGCCTCACTCCTTCTTCTTTGGTTTTGATCCAGATTCACTCTTCAGGGTGAGACTCACTAACCAGTCCCCTGCAAGTCTACCTGCTACCCTGGTGGAACGGGTGGGCTGATGGCGCCACCTGCTGGCCATTCTGGGCTCTGACCCTCCTCCCAAAATCTCAAGTCACAGTAGGGGCCCTCGGACCCCAACTAACCAGCTCCATGGCACGTGAAGACACTGGGGGTGGCCTGGACCCAGCTGGATCCCAGGCCCCACTTCCTTGAGAACAGTCACACAGTAACAGTTTCTGGCTTTGCCTTGCCCAGTGTGGCAGCGCTGGTGGGAAGACCTGGACATGCAGTGCCGGGCAGGGAGGTGGAACCAGCCAGCGGGGGAGGTGACCCAGGTTAGGCCGACCCCTCAAGGTTCTGAAGGAGCCAGGTGGTAACCCTGAGGAAGGGGACAAAACCTCTTCAAATCCAACTTGGTGCTGGTGGACACTGTCCGTCTGTGCAAACCCACAGGCCAGGGTGTCTCTGGGGCCAGCCTGTTTGATGAGAGTTGGCCAGAAACTAGTGAGGCCTGTGTCTCCACCTGGCCCCTGCCCGGGAGTCCACCCCGGACTACAAACCAAAGCAGTGGGTGGCCCCTGTGACCAGGGTACACAGACAAAGTCACCACTCCAAGGGTCACTGTGGCTTCAGTAGCAGGAGGGACTGTGGGACCACCCAGGTCCTGTCCCTTCCCTCTAGATGGGGCCTGCCTGCATCTGGTGGAGCCCGATGAGACCTGAGTCTGTCCCCAGGCTGACTCTGTGCAGCTGAGCTGTGCTTCCTGGGCACATACCCACACCAACATCCATGCGGGAGCAAAAGTGAGGTAGGAGCTGCAGCCCGTCTCAGCCTACACCCTCCAGGCCAAAGTCAGGGCCCTGGTGGTTCCCCTACCCCCTCAGGTCAACTGCCTTCTTTCTCTCCTACCCCTTAGGTCCAAGAGGACAAGGCCCTCTGGTCCTTGTGGGGTGCCCCTGCACCCCCCTCCACTGAGGCACACATACAGATGCTATGATGCTGCAGTCCATGGGGACACAAAGAGTCGGACACAACCCAGTCATTGAACTGATGACCTGCTCACTTCTCAGGTGACTCAGTGGTAAAGAAGCCTCCGCACGAGACACAGGAGACTCTGGTTAGATCCCTCGGCGGCGAAGATCCCCCGGCGGCGAAGATCCCCTGGAGCAGGAAATGGCAACCCACTCCAGCATTCTTGTCTGGAGTATTCCATGGACAGAGGAGCCTGGCGGGCTACAGTCCACAGGGTGGCAAAGAGTTGGACAGACTGAACAAGCACACACACACACAACCTGCTACAGACCCAGAGCCCTTAGGACACCCCAACTGCCTCCTCTCACTGCCCTCTCCCCAGACCCCTCCCTGGGCCCTGAACTGCAGCTCACGTCCAGCTGTGGCCTGTGCTTGGGCACCGGGATCTCCTAGCTCTGTCCCCTCTGGTGCATGGCATCCCAGTCTCCCCACCCCCCGCAGCCCTCTTTGGTCCCTGCTCTGAGAGCAGTTGAGAGGAGTCCGGGGTCTGCACGTGTGGGGCAGCCGCCAGTATCAACAACGCGGTTCAAGAATCCGCGCTCCCTGCCCTCTCCCGGGCCCCAGAGCACCTTCCCTGGGCCCACAGGCGCGTCGCGGGGATTAGAACACACGGGCGCCAGCGCCCCGCAGAGAGCACTGCAGGAAGCGGGGGGAGACCACAGCCAACCTTACTTCCGGCGCCGGGGGCGGCCCAGTGCCCCACCAAGGGGAGTCAGCACCTGCTGTGGCTCTGACGCCTCTCCCAGTTTCTGGGGGCTGTCCCCGCGGCCAATCCCCACACTGTGCCGCTCACCAGTGCCTGGCTCACCCGCCCCCCCCCCCCCCCCCCCCCCCGCCGCCCCTCCAGCCTTGAGTCTGCACCCTGGGCTTCGTTCGCGCCGCTTGGACCCCGCCGCTCCGTCAGCCCCGCCCCACCCCAGGCCCCAGGGCCCGCCCCAGGCCCCGCCCTCAGTGACGCTCAAGGTCTGCGCCGCACGCCGAGCCAGCTCAGTCATCTGGTGCCGCCGCGTAGGCGTGGCTACCTGGGTCCCTGCGTCGCCTCCACGTCTCCCGGTCCCCAAGGTCCCCGCGGCCCTGCGACCCTTGACCATGGCTTCCGCGGCCGCCAGCCCCCCGGAGGTGGTCCGCGCGGCGCAGAAGGACGACTACTACCGCGGCGGGCTGCGGAGCGCGGCGGGCGGCGCCCTGCACAACCTGGCAGGTGAGGGCCGCTGCGGGGGGTCTTGGGGGCCGTACGGGCCGCGGGGCCGCGAGGCGGGGAGACGAGCCCCAGGCCCGCCGGTCAGCCCTCTCCAGGCTCGGCCTGACCCTGCGCACCCCCGGAGACCTGAGCTGAAGGAAGGAGCGGGTGCTCCGGTCTTTGACCCCTGCTGCAGAGGGCGGGGGTGGGGGTCAGGCAGCAGGCGCGTAAGAGTTCACGGCTCTGCTGACACGAGGCTACAATGGAGCAGGGGCGTTGGAGTCCAGTGTAGGGGCAAGAGCGTGGGGTAGATTCCAGCCGACAGCGGGCTCCTTCAGAGCAGCTGAAGGGAGGCTGGACTGTACACTGGGGCCGGGTGGCCATGGGCCGGCTTTGAGCAGGAGAGGAACACACAGGATCAAAACAGATGGCCCGTGTATTAATTTTGCTCACAGATTCACTTACTCCACGCGAGACACTGCTCTCCATGCTTCAGAACATTAACTCGTTTTGTTAACACATGCCTGCCTGGAGGACCTGTTGGTATTACCTTCCTCAGAGACAGAGAAATGGGGATCCCAGAGATATAACTCACCTGAGCTCACTGCCAGCAGTGTGGGAGCTTGGGTTTGATGCTGGTCAGTGGTCTTGGCTTGAGTTCCCGGTCACTGTGTTACACTTCCTGTGCTTGTGGTTCTCTGGCTTCTACAGCAGTTGCCTAGGTGGATCCTGGAGGGGGCATGGCTGCAGGTGGGTAGGTTCTCAGGACACTCAGGGCCCAGGCAAGGCAGGAGTCAATGGAAAGTGTGAACAGCGCGAGAGTCCAGGGAGCGAGCAGAGTGTCGGGGGCGAGTCAGGGGCTGCAGAGCTGGGCCTGGGCAGCAGGAGCGAGGATTTTTCTGACCCTCATGCCCCACCGCCCCCAGCCCCTCAAGAATAACACGTACAGTTCCTCCTCTTAGGTGCGAAGAAGTGGCTGGAGTGGAGGAGAGAGGTAGAGCTGGTGTCGGATCTCGCCTACTTCAGCCTCACCACACTAGCAGGTAGTGGCCACAGCGCGACCTCCTGAGGAGCCCCGAGGACAGGAGAGGGCTGCCTGCAGAGGGAGCTTTCTGAAGGTGCTTCACAGTGTCTCCCAACTGGTCCACATGCAGCCTCTGGGAAGGAAGGGCCCAAACCCCTCCCTAGGTGGGGTCCAGGCCCTGAGTCCAGTCCAGGCCTCTGGAAGCCCTAAGGTTCCCTGTCACGTCTGTCTGGGACTGTTTCTCCGCAGCTGAACCTGTGGTCCAAGAGGGGTCCCAGCATTGCGCCCTGCCACAGGGCGTGGGCTGTGAGGATCGTCCTTTGGAGGGGAGGTGGGAACCCAGTAGAGGAGATCGCTGAGGCCCTTCTCCCTGCAGGCTACCAGACCCTTGGGGAGGAATACGTCAGCATCGTGCAGGTGGGCCCGTCACAGCGCCGCGTGCCCTCGAAGCTGCGACGTGGGATCCTGGTGGCGCTGCACACCGTCCTGCCCTACCTGCTGGATAAGGCCCTGCTTCACCTGGAGCACGAGCTGCAGGCCACTGGCGACAGCGCCTGGCCCTTACGGGGCAGCCTGGCTCCCAGCAGCCAGTCAGGGATGAGGTACTGGGTGCACCGGTGCATGGCCGCCCTGACGGAACAGCAGCAGGGGGTGCTCTTGCGGGCCGTGTCAGCGCTCAAGCAGAGCCTCGGGTGCCTCCAGCGTCTCCATGTGGCCTGGTTCTACATCCATGGCACCTTCTACCACTTGGCCAAGAGGTTCACGGGCATCACCTACGTAAGTAACAAGTCTGGCTCGTCTGCAGAGGCTGTTCGGGGACTATGCCCGCAAGCAGTCACAGGGCCGGAGCTGAAATCCCCACTGGAAGCAGGGGTCTTGTCGGGTCCTGTTTTACTAAAAGACCAGAGGAAGTCTGATTTCCAAAAACCCTGATGAGGGTGGGTGAGTCTGTTTTCCACCGCCAGCACCTGTGGCCACCTTGCTGTATACCTGGGCTCCTGGGCCGTATGCCCACCCCTTCCAGGCCACCCTGACAGAGGGTTAGATTTGGGGACATCCGGGGTGACCCGATAGCAACCACATGGACCCCGGTGCCACCAGCATCCCTGCTGGCCTCCCACCTGGGGAGGTCTGGTGGTCTCCAGACCTGGTGGTATCCGCCCACCATGGGCACTCCAACCCTGCTGGGTCTCAGCTGATGCCCTGGCTTCAAGGTTCATCCCGAAGGCCTTCCCTTGGGCCCCGCCTCCCCAAGGTCTCCAGGCTCTCCCCCACCCCCTCGCCTCCCTTGACAGGGGTATCCGGCGCCTCTACCCCTTCTTCTCGCAGCTCCAGTCCTCACTGCACTTGCAGTACCCGTTACACCAGGTGTCTGCTGAGCTACTGCAACCCACTCAGGGCCTCGGGGTGGCCAAGGGGGCTCTTCCTCCACAGACACCAGGGCCCCATCTCTTGGGCTCTGGCTGGTCTGGCTAACCTGACAGTCCTTGCTCCCAGCTAGGGAAGGAGACAGCAGTAGAGGGCAAGTAGCTTCCCATTGGAGGATGTGGCTGGGAGTCCCAGGGCCTTGATACAAGCAGGAGCTTCTGTTTCCGGATGGGGCAGAGTTGTGGATCCGCCACGCAGGGCTTCCCCGCTCAGGCCTCTTTGCTGGTTCCTTTTCTGTGAGGTTTAGGTGCCTAGCAGTTTCCCTTCCCATGATGCCTTGCTTGCAACCAGTGACCTGCAGGCTTCATCGCCACCCTCCTTGCTCAGTGCTGAGCCCACCAGGCACTCCTGCCCCCTCCCGCAGCCAGAGGGCAGGCCTTGGCTTAATGCCACCCATGAGGCCGGGCCCTTAGGCTGCTCAGCGCCTCACGCCCTCTGACCATGTGACTGTCCCCCGGGTCCCTGACAGCTCCGTGTCCGCCGCCCACTCGCAGAGGACCCTCGGGTTCGCGCCAGCTACCAGCTGCTGGGGTTGGTGTCCCTGCTGCACCTGGCACTGGGCGCAGGCCTGCAGCTCTACGGCTTCCAGCAGAAGCAGCGTGCCCGGAGGGAGTGGAGGCTGCAGCGCAGCCTGTCCCACCGCAGGTGCATGGGGCAGGGCGGGGGCGCGGGGCAGGGGCTGGCTCCCCAGGTGCCCGGCGGGACGCCAGCTCAGTTGTGTCCCATCCACCTACTCCTGCCAGGAGCCATGCAGAGGAAAGAGCCATTTCCAGAAACCCACTCTGCACGCTGTGCTTGGAGGAACGCAGGCATTCGACAGCCACGCCCTGCGGCCACCTGTTCTGCTGGGAATGTATCACCCACTGGAGCGACACCAAGGTGGGCATCTGGAGTGTGCCTGTCCCCAAAACCGCCTGTCATTTGGGGTAGGGGCATGTTCCTAGAAGCCTCCAGGTAGGCTGGACCTGGGGCCATGTCTGGAGTCAGGGCACTGCACTGGTGGAAGCTGGGGAAGCTCCGACCCAGAAAGGAAGGCCCTAGAGTCCTAGGGCCAGAGCTCGGCCTTGAGACCTTGGAGTGTGGGGTCCAGCAAGCCAGGGGGCCAGAGCAGGGCACTTAGATCTTAGGCCTGTGATGGTTCCAAGGAGGGGCAACCCCTGGGCCCCTGTTTACCTCCCCATCTCTTCCAGGGGCCTGAGGCCCAGCCCACCTGGTTCCTCAGAGCCCACAGGGCCCCAGGGGTGGGGGTGCTGTAGCCTCCTCCCGGGGTCCAGGCCGCCCTGCAGAGGCCCCAAGAACACAGGCCCTGCCTCCCTACATGGCCCAGGTGGGGCACCCGACCTCACAGGAGGGACCCAGTCCCGAGGAGTGGGGACAGGACACTTGAGTTCACACCCCAAAACTCCTGAGAGGCTCTGGGTGGCCATGGTCCTTCAGTGGCCAAGCGCCCTCCCCATCCTGCATCACCTGTGGCCTGACCATCCCCTCTTTGGTCACTCTCCCTGCCCTGCGCCCCGACCACCTGCAGTGTCTCAAAAGATGCTTTCTCTAAGAGACATGGGTACATCCCTGTTTTATTGGAGATGCTGTGCTGGGTGCGGCCTGTGACCGTCCCCCACTCTCCCCAGATGGAGTGTCCCCTCTGCAGGGAGAAGTTCCTTCCCCAGAAGCTGGTCTACCTGCGGCACTACCGCTGACCTCTTGCGGGAAGAGCAGTCTTATTCTCGTCAACTTCTCCTACACAGACATCGAGAAATTCTCAAGACTTTTGTCACGTGTGATACCATGCCAGCTGCCAGGAGGATGGGTGCTGGACCTGGACTTGGACCTGGCTAATGCAGTGGGTGGGGACCTGCCGGGCAGCCAGTCAGTCCACCCTCAGAACGCCCTTCCCTTCCCCAGTCACTCATAGGGCGGGGTGTGACTGACCTGCAGCCGAACACCAGCAGTTTGCCTTCCCAGCATGATAATCCTCCAGCCCAAAGACCTACAGACCTCACCCTTGTCACTGGAGCTGGCTTTGGAGGGCGGGAGCACAACTGTCCCCAGAAAGCCAGAAGTTGTCATCAACCCTCAAACCTCTGGCACGTGCCATCTAGTGAATGGTCGGTCAAGTCTGCTTCTCATTCTAGAACATGGCAGTGTGCATCCCGGCCTCACCACAGGGGTCTCCTCCCGCATGGAGCACCTGGCAGGCCGGCCAGCTTGCCATCACCACTCACTGCTGTGGCCAGCCTGCTTCCTACAACCTTTGTTATCTTCAGGTTTTTTAGATCTACTTAAATCCTGCAGACTGGATTTTGGTGTAGGCATCCTTACAGCACCATATCCACAGAAGTGCTGGTGTGCTGACACTGTGTGCGGTGCACACACCCATGTGAAAGGGCCTCTTCTCCAGGTGACTTGCTGGCCAAGGCCCTCCTCAAGAGACGGAGGTCAGCCCCAGAGACCGGCTGTGACCATGGGCCCTGCTCCAGGCAGGCAGGAGCACAGAGGGAGGCTCCATGGGTCCTAAGCCCCCTCCTCACATGGGCACCGAGTGGCTGCAACTTCCCGTCAAGTCTCACACCAGTGTGTTTACCGGGACAACAGTATGAAACAAGTCTAGAGCACGAGCACTGCAGGTGCCACGGCCTGGTAATGGGTACCGATCCGAACATCATTTACGTGTGAAGTTTAAAATTCAGGGTCAGGTACACAAAGATCTTCATGTGGCCTCTTAAAAGCAAGAGCTGCTTAGTTCAGATTTGCAAAAACTGGCAAAAGAGAAGCCACGAGGGGAACACTTGAGGTCCAAAACTGAGACAGATGGAAATGGCACTTGGAGCCGGGAGTCAACGGTGTGGCAGTGTGACTGCCTCCTAGGGCGGCTGGGCACCCCACGGGCCCTCATGGTGCAGGAGCTGTGGTGGGTCAGTTAGATAGAGACTACACGAGAGCGGGGACATTGTCTTTAATAAAGTTGGAATTAAAAAGTCACTTAGTAAAATGTTTACGAGTATTGGTTTTTATCACATCAAAAAAGCTGACATGCAGGTCAAAGTTGTTTCCCCGTAGAAAGTAAGAAGCCGTGTGTTAAAGCCCACGGCACTGGCCCTCCTGCCAGGTGTCTCTGAAAGGGGCTGCTGCCGAGAACACACTTAAAACAACTCTTGACGTATCAAAGAAAGGTGTCAAAATAAACAATTAAAATATATATTTATAATTCCAGGCCCTCAAAAGCAATCATGGTGGTTAAGAACAAAGTTTTGAGTCATCATGGTAGAGGCCAACTCGACACATCTCCCGTGAGATGAACTGGGAAACTGGCATTAGAACCCGCAGCTAAGGGAGTGGCTCCTCCGACGGGCGCGTATCCTCCACGCAGGCGGCAGGCGTCCTCAGAGGCAGCAGTCAGGCATCCTAGATCCCTCCGCGGGCCTGACCCCACCGCCGGCCGGCCGCCCGCCCTCCCCAGACCGCCTGGCTGTCCCCCAGCCTGCGTTCCACTACAAGTCCGGCGTCTGCACACCTGACCGGCTGGAAAATAAATCAATGCGATTCGGTTTAAATGCCAGTTTCTTCAAAAACCTGATACTTCAGTTACAAATAATCAAAGCTTCTTTTTAGAAAGAAAATAACTCCCTTGTACTCAACTACTGTATGTGAGAAGAGAAGGCGCCGTCAGGCGGCAGGCGGCCGTCTAGCTGGCGAATGTCTTGCCCGCGTCCTCTTTGCCCTTGTATGTCCTCTTGCCGTGCGTGAATGGGATGTACCGGTACTTGATCATGTGCTGGGACAGACAGACAGACGAGTCTCAGCATGGCCTCCCCATGGCCCAACTCCCCTCCAGCTCTGAGCCCCATCTTTGCTGTGTGCAGGTGGGAAGCCAGGGCTCCTCAGACACCCCTGTCCCCCTGCTCAGGGGGCCCAGCCTGGCTAAGCCAGCTGAGCTGCTGAAAACCCCAAGGGTAGGGGACAGGTTTTGTAATCCCCACCCTGTGTGCAGGACGAGATAGAGCTACTGAGCTGGGAATCTGGGATTGGGGGAGAAGAGGACAAAGCGGAGCTGCCCTGTCACCGAGGACAGCTTAGGGTGATGCTGGCATCACACAGCACGTCCTGGGGCCTGACTGTCCCCGGATGATGCGCCAGACCTGACGGTGTGACTTGAGGCTGTGCTGAGGGCCCGGCCCTGTACACAGACCAGACACAGCAGTTGTGACTCATGCCAGTGGCAAGCGCACACACCCACCAGACTGCACAGAGTGCAGGGTGTGCACAGCCCCAGTGTCTCAGACTGAAGCCTGGCTCAGAGCTCCTCACACCAGGCATGCTGTCTCACGGCACAGCAGCACCTGGGCTTTACCTTTATCTGCCTCTTCATGGTGATACAGAACAACATGATGAAGTACATCACCAGGATGGGCCAGAACACCGGGACATTGAAGGCCTCAAAGAAGGTGCACACCATGGCCACCAGGATGCCCTTGGTTGCCGCGTGCCTGCGGAAGGAGAGAAAGTCAGTGGTCAGTACAGGAGGCGGCCCTGGGGGAGGGGCGGTGTCTCCTCCAGAAGCGGGGTGGGAGCTACGTGTGGCATGTGTCACGTACTGCATGTGACAGACATGAAGCGTAAAATGAGCAGTGGGGGTGCTGGTGCTGCTCAGGCTGGTAGCTGGACAGGGATGTCGTGTGCTGCAGGGTGACGTCTAGAAACCTAGTCCCAAGCCTCCAGTCCAAGTCCCACGTGCCCGGCAGGCTGTCCCCCAATGACGAAGCAGCATCCCGTAAAAAACAGGTGCAGTTAGACCTCAGGGCCACCTGCCCTCCAGCTCAGGGCCAAACCCTCCAGGGTCGCAGCCCTACTGAAGTCCACCTGGCTCTCCCTTTCTAGCAAGCAAAGGCTACCCCAGAAGGCAGACAGGATCCAGCCTTGCCCGCTTCCCACCCCTCCCCCAGCAGCCCTGGGTCCAGCACTTCACACCCCACTGGGGCTGCACCTGCACCAGGAGGGCAGGGTGAAGGACAGGACAGGACAGACACACTCACAGACCCTCCCACTTCCCCAGCCAGCGGGGTCATCTCCACCCTGTCACACTCATCATTACATCACACACACGGGACCACCTCCAAGAGGCCTACAGACAAGTCAACCCCCCTTCACACCAACACCTGCCCTGTGCCCAGGTCATCCAAGGACTGAGCGGGGAGGGAGCTAGTCCCCTCAGTGCAGAGCAGTGTACCCCCAGAGGCCAAGTCAGTCACCTACTCAGGACCCTCCACCCCGAAGCAGCCCCCTTTTTGTGGCTTCGAGGTACAATGGTGTTACTTTGCAACCCAGAGCAGGGTGGGCCCTGGAGGCCCCTAGGACGCCCCATGCCCAGCAGGCACATCTCACATTCTGGGTGAGATGACGTCCAAGACAGGGAAACACATCAGAGCTGGTGTTTCTCTGAGAAGTCTAGGCTGCCAGCTTGCCAGAACCAAGACACATGCCCAGCTCAGAGCCACAAGTGGGAATGAGCACGGGGGGAGGAGCACAGGGCGAGGGGGAACATAGGGTGGGGGTGGGGGGGGACACAGAGGGACAAGCACATGAGGACGAGCATGTGCAAGAAAAGGGGGAACATGCCGGGAGGAGCACGGGGGGTGGTACAAGGGTGGGGCGAGATGAGCATGGGGGCAGGAACACGGGGGATGAGGGACTCACCAGAACTTAAACTCTGGGAGCCTCCTGATGAAAGGTCGGAACTCCTCATTCTGTTTGGTGGGTAATGAGGGGCCGTCGTCTGAAAGGATAGAGTCAGCAGGGTGAGGCGGGCAGTCCCGTCCTTCCTACAGCTCTAAGCTCCCCTAGGGCTTTGAACCAACAGCCCTGACATTTAACCAGACTTTAACCAAACACAAAATGGGGATTTCGGCTGATTTAGAAACCGATTCACAGCTTTAGAAGATATGTATGAGAATTTCTTGTTAAGACCACTTCAAATGATCGTGTAAAAAATTCAACCCCACGCCAATTTTCAGGAACCCATCAACCAGACAACCTGAGACCTGAAGGGAAGGGGAGAGATGAGCACACACAGCCACGAGCAGGCAGAGGCGAGAGCTGTGTTGGCTCTGGGGGCGCAAGGCTCGGGACAGCCACCCTCCTCCACGAGCCGGGAATCCCACCCCACCCCACCTGGGAAGGTGCCCTCCCCAGTGACACATGGAGAAACTGAGGCCTACAGACAGGCCTCTTGCTTTCTAATTCCCCAATTGGCAACAGTAAATGAAAGGGTTGTTCCCTTTGGTATTTCTATCAGATACTCCACAGAGAAAACACACGGTTCTAGTCACGATCTACAGTCTGGACAGTGGTCTCTGCCACAACGAGCAGGATCCCACAGGCTCCACAGGAACTGTAGCGGGTGTTACCAACATGGCAGCGTCAGCCCAAATGAAGGCCTCAGCATCTGGTCATGCACTGCCTCATCCCCAGCTAGCCAGTAGGTGTGCACTGAGGCGTCCATCTAGCCCAGGTATGCCAGGAACAGCCAGAGCCAAGAACTTTTCAACCCACTACCCTGGGACATCAAGGGGCCAGCAGCCTCAGTGAGCCACGCCAAGCGGTATGGATGCCTGCTTTTGCGAGAAGGGACCTTGGCTAGGCCAGCTGCCCAGAAGGCAGGCCCCGGCTCACCCCACCCTACCCCCCCATCCCACCCCCGCACAGGATACATAGCCCCAAGGCTCAGTTTCCTCATCTGCCAAACACAGAAAGAAGCACCCACCGCCTGGGACTGTTTAACAAAGGTTTAACCAGTCCTACTACAAACAAACTTGCTAGGATCACAGAAGTTCCAGGTACATTTTAAACACCTAAAGAACAGTCTCCAAAGTTGAGATTTCAAATGTTTCTGAAGGAAACAGCAGTTCTGTGAAGCATATAAAATCACAATTCTCCCCAGACAGCGAAGGAGGCATGCTCCACTGTACCTGAATCTTCCATTAACGAAGGGTCCACTTTTGGAGAAAGGAAAGCTATAAAGAGATTCAGGTGGTAGATTCCCAAGGCATAGGTCACGATGTACCAACCCTGGAAGAGAAGGGACACAGTCAGTGAGGCCACCCCAAACCCAGTCCTCATCTGGACTGAACCCACATGGACGTGAGCTCAGAACAAGTGACAGAAGAGCAGTGAGCGTCCACAGTGACAGCCAAGTCTCAGGCTGCATTTTGGGTCCTGAGCATGGACAAGCCAGTGTCCAGTTAGATGCACCCAAAACTTAAAGCCACCGGAGCCCTGGAAGACAGCAGATGTGGGGTGCTTCACAAAGCCACACACCCAAGCTGCACACCCAGGTCACAGGTTTGTCCTTGCCGGCAACCCCCAACCTGGACACGGGCCCCAAACCAGCCCAAGACCTGAGGGTTCAGCTCCTTCCAGCAGGTGGCTGGCATCACACACACTGTGCAAGGACTGCTCACAACCTCTGCCCAGAAGAAATCCAGAACCTCAGGAAACCAACAAGTCACAGAGTATCACAGAGAAAAACCTTCCTCAGAAGACACAGAGAAGGAGGTGCATCTGCCACTGGGCTTCTTGGCCGCACAGCATGTGGCAGCTTAGTTCCCCGACCAAGGATTGAACCTGGGCCCCTGCATCAGTGGTCCTAACCACCGGACTGCCAGGGAAGCCCTCAGCTCATTCTTAAAGGAGTGAGCTTATCCAGTCAGAACCAGAACTGCACTGCATGACCAATTCTAAAAGCACAAACATTTTCACACAAACCAGCTGAGATCTGTCATGCTGGCATTTGATGTCCTGATACCTTAAAAAATGTTCAAGTGAGACAACAAAATCCTAGATGTGAAAAATTAACAGCTGAGTGTTTACCCAACTCCTGGTGGCAGGGCTGAGGCTGGAGGGATGTCAAATCAGGCACTTAGTGAGTCTAACCTGGGAAACTAGCCTGTATGAAATGTACCCACATCCTGCCCAAATCCCCCAATTCAAGGTTTCGAGGTCACTCTTTCCATGAAGACTGGACCAAGGTCCAATTTCTTAAGAACACCTAGACCCAATCACAGCAAACAACATAAATTGTAGACTGCCGACACAAACTGTGCCTGCTACAGAGCTGCACCATGCCTGCCACCTTTGTACTAAGCCAGGGTTAGGCTTCCTCTCGGAAACACAGACACAAACACCACCACCAAGGATGAGTCTCTACACTCAGCTGAGGGGAGAGTTTCCCCCAGGGCTGGACGCAGGGCAGTATCCAGTGGGTGAAGTACCTGTCCTCACACCCACATCCTTCTAAACCTGGGAGACACCCAGGAGGATGGGTCTGCTCTCATGGAGGAAACAGCTGTCCTGCCCAGGGAAAAAAGCTCTGGATGAGGCCTGAGCCTCCCTGTTCTCAGGGTCCACAGGGACTCCCACCTGGGACCCAGGCAGTCAGCAGAGGTCAGAAAGGATGCCTGTCCCCTCAGGGAGAGTCCTCAGTCACCTTATCTGGTCCTCCTCAGACACCAGCCTGTCTCACGCACTCAGGGAATAAGGTGGCCAATACAGAAGGTGATTTTGTCCCCAGTCCCCAGGAGGCCCACCCAAGGGGCGCCAGGAGGTCCCCTGAGCAGACCAGGACACTTCTACCCTAGAGACAGAAGAAGAAACAACCCTCCCACCTGCACACCAGGCCAGGTCCCGCCCCACCGACCTGCAGCAGGTAAACGCGGATCATGTAGATGAAGCTCAGGCCCAGCGTCACCACCCATCTCACGGCCGTGTGTGGTGTAGACTTGTCCAGCCAGGACTGGTAGATCTAGAAGAGATAACAGCCTATGTTACGGCTGCCCTGCAGTTCCCGCTGCGCAGCACGCCTGTTGCTGACCTTTGCGCCAAGCGGTGGCTACAATTAATCCAAAAGTTACTTGCAACAGTTCTGGAGATGCACTTGTCCTTTAATCAAAGATAATTACGGATCTGTCTCTCACAGGTCCCACAGCATCGGCCCAAGGGGCCATTATGGGGAGACAGAGAGGACAGCAGAGACAGGGGAATGTTACCATTCCACACCTGGGACTCAGCGGCAGGTCCCCGTCTCATAGCCACTTACCCTGGAGCCGGTCCCGCCCACCCAGCAGTGGGGGTGGCAGGGGGCAGGGAATGGATACAGCTGCAGAGCAGATGGCCAAATTCCTAGATTCACACATGTGCACACATGTCTACATACATGTGTACATCTGTATATTTAACTAATATACATGTCTGTGTTCTCATTTTAATTTGAAATTAATTTCCACTTTGAAATTCTAATTATGAAAAATTTTAGTCATTCATAAGAGAGAGTATGAGCCACAGAGGCCCATGACCTGGCTTCAATAATTATCAAGTTTTCCAGATGCTTTTTTCTTTTAAAAGTCAACACGGTTTTAGTTCTGAGCCCTATGTCAGTCTGTACGATTCTCTACCAAGTCAGACTTCTTCCTCCAAGACAAACACTCACAGGCCTTGCTGTGGTCTGAGGGGTGGTCCCATGGTGGAGCATGGACCTGGAGGCAGGAGGTTGAGGAGACGTGGGCGAGGGTGGATGTGGGTAGCTAAGCAAGGGGACAGTGGGGCAGAGGCAGGGCAGCCATGTCTGCTAAGAATCAAGGTTTTCACATTTTCAGAGTTGTTGAAAAAACACAGAAGACAAGTATGTGGTCTGAACCACAGGAGACCCAGCATCCTCACAGTAACAAGACAAGATGCCTGAGTGTGAGCATGAGACTGAGGGAGTTGTCCCCCGCCCAGGGGGACTGCCAGCACACTTACACTTCACAGGGAAATGCCCCAGGGTCAAGTCTCATTTAAATGTGTATGCTGCTGCTAAGTTGCTTCAGTCCTATAGGACTGAAGTGCGACCCCATAGACGGCAGCCCACCAGGCTCCCCTGTCCCTGAGATTCTCCAGGCAAGAATACTGGAGTGGGTTGCCACTTCTTTCTCCAATGCATGAAAGTGAAAGTGAAGTCGCGTCTGACTCCTAGTGACCCCATGGACTGCAGCCTACCAGGCTCCTCTGTCCATGGGATTTTCCAGGTAAGAATACTGGAGTGAGTTGCCACTGCCTTCTCCTTAAATGTGTATACAGCTCTGCAACCCAAAACCAACCTGTCCAAGTCGTGTGAAAAATCTGTAGACCACAGACGGCTTCCCATGGACAGAATCTCCCACACTGTCACCTTCAGACATTCTGTAAACAAGAAAAACACAAACATTTTTATATTAAATACACAGCATTCAAGGACCTAATCACCTTGCCCTATTTCCATCAACACCATTGAGCAGGTTTTTCCAGTATTCACTATTTCACACACACCGAGGCTTCCGGCCTGTGTCTTTACCACGAGTCATCCAGGAAAGAGAAAAAAGCCAGCGACATGCTCTGGTGGAGAGCCAGGAGGCCACGTGACATGCAAAGCAGCACCGGTGGACTTTCACTTCCGCTCCTGTCACCTGCTCACACTCCTCCCACCAGTCCCAGGGCCGCCCCGCTGGCTGCAAAGTCCTGTGGACACATTTGTGTCCACTTCCCTGGGGCCAGTCTGCAGCACAGGCAGCTACGCCCACCTCCCCAGGGCTCTCCAGACTCACCCACTGCCAGCATCTCCTCCTGCCGCTCCACAGGCTCCCAAGTGGCCCCCATTCTCTAGGCCCCACCTGGTCTCTGTCCAGACCGCTCCCCATGGTGCCAGGCCCTGTCCAGACCAGGTCCCCACTCCATGGCCAGGATTCCCAGTAGTAGTCTGTCTATACCCCAGTTCCTTATCTGTGTGTGGAGGTAACCCTATCTGCTCCTGACTACTTCTTCCAGCCGCGTGACTCCGTGAGGACTCAGCACATGAGAGCCCAGATCGCCAAGAGAAGGGTGGGCACCGTCACCCCTAGGCCACAGCAGCACATCAGCCTCAGATAGTCCAGGCCACTTGCTCAAAGTCAAGAGCAGCTCTGGCTTTGGCTCTTGCAGCCCAGCATGGGCCCCATCTGAACCGCAGAACAAAAAGGATGCAGAGGGCAGAAGGCCATGCCAGTCCAAACCTGGTGAAGATGCTGGGGCCAAGCTCTCGCTGCCCCCATACCACGGGCAGCTTCCTCCCGCATGTGGCACCATGGCAGGGCTGGGGACCAGAAGTGGACTCCAACATGGAGTCTGTTTCACCACCCTTGAGTGGTATGATCGTGAGGCCGCCATCCCTCATCTGGAAGGCGGCGCCTGCTGGCAGAGCAGCCCTTCCCACTTGGGCAGACACCTGAGGCTTCCAACGGCCTAAGCCACCCCCTTGCTTCGCCTGTTCATGGCCAGGCTGAAGCCTGGATCTGCACATTCTTCCTGCATGCACCCGCTAGTTAGCAGGCTCACAACACAATCCTAGATCCCAGATGGAACACAGTACCAATTGCAGTGGGTCCTTGAACAAATGCAGGGGCATCGGCCCCAGCAGTCAACGATCCAAGTATAACTTTAGAGTCAGTCTCTGGACCGGCAGTTCAACCAATCGCAGATCGTGCAGTACTACGGTACTTTCTCATGAAAAAAATCCACATGAGACTGGACCCATGCAGTCCAAACCCATATTGTTCAAGGGTCAACAGTACAACTTTGATATGAAGATAACCTGAGCAGTCCCACAAGCACCAGCACATCTGTGCTAGAATGTCTACTCTGATTCTGTAGCACCATTTCCTGGAGCCCCACAGTGGAGGGGCAGAGTGCCAAGGAGACCCAGAAATGCCCTCTGCTTTCCTGGGAGCCGCAGTGAACTGAACAGGTGAACTGTGGCTCCTAGCCCTGTCTTTTGGGGAAGTTTGCCTCTATATTCAACTGGGAAAAATTTCCTATTTTCAAAAGGGCTAAATTAGAGAAGGCCAGTCACCCTATTTAGACCAAAGTCAGGCCAGAAGAAAACCACATCAATAACATCATTTATCCTACAATTCCATACAAATTTTTCCCTGTTTTACTTTTTTATGACCAAAGTGTCTACCATTTAAATGCCTTTACTTGAATTGAGGTATTAAAATTAACATTAGAGAAACACCTGCTATTCCTCTAAAGTACGCCCTACACAGAGACAACCCCTTCTAAATCTCGTTCTCTTAACTAAACGTGTGAAAGATCTTCCCACAACATGTTGACCAACTTCAGATTACCTGACATAAGACATATACATTAACATAACTCCACAATTTGGCTGAACTCCCATCAACATTAAGAAGGTGAACTTTGGATCAAACGGCCTGTCTATGGCGTGACTCACAGGCCACTATGGCCCTCCCCACTCCACTCTGTGAAACAGGGCAACAGCATCTCAGCACCCCCTCCCAGGCCTTTGGTGGGGAGTCAGCAGCCAGCCTTGTTAGAACCAGTGTAGGGCCCAGTTCTAACCAGGAAGAGCTCTGGGGACGAAGGCCGCAAGCTGGCCTTGTTCGGACTTGTTTCCAATCAGGGTGGCCCTCACACAGCTGGGCTGTCTGTAGTCCCCTGCAGTTCCAAGGCCACCTCCTCAAAGAGGCCGTCCATGACTGTCCAACTGGCGCCTGTCACTCAGATCACATCACCCTGTTCTATTTTGTGGGACAATCACTTCTGACTGCTTTCTGCCTTATTTCTCTATTTCCTCCTACTAGACTGCAAGCTCCTGGAGAGGGAGCCTTGTCCCTCCGCTGCCGGTCCCGATATCCACCAGGCCCGGGACAGAGCTAGCAGTGGCTTAAGTTCTCTGTCGGATGTCACTGACTAAGGCTCAGCCACAAAGAAAAAGGCAAAATCAAACTGTTCCAGAGACCAGGAGTATCACTTCTGCGGGTTTGTGTGCAGAGTACCAGAGTCATCACTGCACCTGTCTGTGAAGCTGTCCCCACACAGACGCATCCCACACAGAGGACAGTCCTGCCTGGCACCCTCTATGTCTCCCCTCATTCCCCCGACCCTTTCCCCTGGGTCCCGAGCCTGGTAATTTCCCACACTTTCATTCTCCGATGCTGTTCCCTTCGCTGAAAAACCCTTCCAGACCTCATCCACCCGAGTGCTCGGCCAGGGCTCACGGCCGGCTCCTTTCCCTGGGCATGACCACCTTCCCGTCTCCACCACACCTGCACCACCAAGACCTGGGGGCCCTATATTCACCTACGAGGAGTGCTCCACCTTACACATCTCCGGGAGTGAGACCAACCCGACCAAGTAGCAGGCGCCCCGGGACGCTCCCAGGCCCAGGTGCCTGGGGCAGGTTTCCGGAGACAGCTGTGGGACAGGCGGGGCGCCGTCGGGCGGGTCAGCCCGAGCGCTCGGGAGCTTCGGTTTGCAGAAGGGTTAGGACTCGACCCCGAGAGACCCAAGTCCACCGCGGCGTTTCCTACCCAAATCCCGCACGCCACCCTGGATCGGCGAGGACACCGAAGTCCCACGGCCCCGGGCAGGCAGCCGACCCCTCCCAGGACGCGCTATCAGGGGACTGGGGCCGATCACCGCGGCGACCCCTGGGGTCCGGCCCGGCCCCAGCCTCACGCGCGCCCCTCAGGACCATGGCGCCCTCCTGACCCGCCCCGCCCGCCAGCACCTCGCGGTCCACTGCGGCCGAACGCGGTCTCCCGGGGGCCGCGGGAAGGAGGACGCGGGTGGCTGCCGCGCCGGCGTTTCGCTAGGTCCGGGAAGGGGCGACCGAGCACTTCCGCTCAGTCCTGCGCGGCACCGCCTCCCGGGCTTCCAAGATGGCCGCCGAGGCGGGGCCGAGAGCCTCCAACCATTTCCGCTTCCTGTGCGAGCGCCCAGGCCGTTGGCTGGGCTGTCACGTCGGCGGAAGAGACGTAAGCGGCGGAAATTCGCCGTGCTGCGCAAGCGCATTCGAGTCCTCTGGCTCCCAGCCCAGATAGTTCAGCTCCAGAACTTGGTAACGCCCAAGGACTGACTAGAGACCACGCCCCCTCACAACCAACCAGCCAGTAGAGAAGAACTATGCGGTTGCTAATGGAAACCTCTAGCGGCAAGATGGCGTCCGCCAGTGAGGGGCGCGCGACCACCTGCAGGCCGCGCCGGGATCTTCCTGGGAGGCCACCGCGGGACGGTAACGGCCGACTACACTACCGGGCCTCCGTCGGGAAGGGAGGGAGGCGGACAGGTCCGGGAACTCGCTGAGCATTCCCGCACCTTCACTACGAACCCAGCTCGCACCCCTGGGAGCTTTGTCGTCCCCAACTCAGGTGTCTGGGTGCCCATGGTATGGGCAGGGTCCCAGGCCCCGAATAGCAGAACCGGCTGGGGCCTGGAGACCCAGTCGGGAGGGACTGAGGACCTCCCCAGACCCAGGTTGGCGGGGCGGGCGCCTATGCACGGGTTGGGCGCTCAGCATGTCTGCTGTATAAACGGATGAACAGGGAGAGCTGTGACCCAAACAGCCTTTGGGGAGCAGTGGGGTGAGGCTCACTAAGAGGTCAAGACAGACACCTGGAATGTGCGTGCTGGTCGTCAGCCACGTCATCTGTACCTGGTGCTCACCTGGGTGTCCTTTCAACCTTCAGGTTATGGGGTCTACGTTTATCCAAATTCTTTCTTTCGGTATGAAGGAGAATGGAGAGGAGGCAAGAAACACGGTAAGGACAGGCTGTGGGCTCTTGCTGTAGCCATTCCACTGACAGCACACGTCCCAGAGGAGCTGGGGCCACGTGAGTGCCCGCCACACAAGGCCCTCACTCGTGCCTGCCGCACCAGGCCCTCACTCGTACCCATGAGGGGCCATCTCCTGCAGAGTGGGGGACCCAGACAGCCGCCTTGGTACTGATGAAAACTGTCTTTATTTTTTCCTTGAATATGAAGAGCCTGACCATTTTTGTAAAAAAAATCGAAATAGCAAGGAGAGCAAGTAGCAAGCGAGAGTCCCTTGGCGTCCACCCCAGAAGCAGACCTGGACTTTCCAAAGTTTACCATCACAGTTTTATGCCCATTTGGGGTTCTGTCTGCTCAAAGCCTCTGCCTATTTTTCTCCCAGAGGATTGATCTTCCAGTATTTTCTCGTGAACTATTTATCAGTTGGCTACCAGTGTATTTTGAGACTTTTGACTTTTATGGGAGTGTTTTTGCCACACGGGTGTTTCTCCCTTTTGTGCTGAAATCTGTGAGTCTCTTCCTGACCTGGACAAAGTGGTCCCTTCTTTTAAAAATGTATTTTTCAGTGTCACCCCATGCTTTTCTCTCTCTC